CCATCGAATGAGACCCTATAAATATCTTGATTTTCTCATGATGGTAAGAAAGAGAGAGTAAATAATAAAAATAAAAAAGAGAAGCTTCTTGAAAAGACGATGACACGTGGTATGACATATCCATCCTTCGGGGGCTTTCCTTTGTCCACAACCCGAGTGCGCGGTGGGCCCCGCATTTCCCTTTTTCTTTTTTTTTTTTTTTACCCCAACTCGAACCTTCTAGAAACAACAAAACAGAAAAGTAAACCTAACCTACTCTCTCTCTCTCTCTCTCTCTCTCTCCTTTCCTTCCGCTCTCCCGCCTTCTGTCCTCGGTTCAGACCATCGTCCGCCTTTTCACTGAGCTTAAATAATTTAATCGGTTGAAGAGTGCTTGTTTGGTTGCTGAGAAAATCCTGCTTCCTTTCTGGTGGTAATAAGATTAATTTCCTGCCAAAACCGTTATTCAACTTCTCTTCAGATTTGTGATTTTGATCTTATCTTCTGTTTGGTTGCCGAGAAAATATTGAACGAATGGATAGGTTTACATGACTTACAACATATTTCTTCTTTTTATATTAGGTTGGAACGAGAAATCTGGACTCAAGAAACTGTTTCTACTTTATTTTGTCTACGTTTTTAATTTAATGGTAACCTAAAATTTATATTAGCAGTTGATTTTGTCTCAATCAACCTAGATATTTTGGAGAAGATGCCTGGAACCTTCTAATTTATATGGATTTTCTCTTACTTTCTCGGCAACCAAACGGAGTAATATTAAATTGGTCGTGTTAATATCTATCTCTTTTCGGATTTTTTTTTTTTTTTAATATGATCAAGTGTTTGGTAATTGGTATATATAGCATCAGATTGAGACAAATACAAAGAAAGGAATCTCTATCTATAGAGCTCCAGATTTCCAGGGTGCGAACTCGGAAACCGGATCATCATGGCGCCATTGCCGGCGGAACCTGACGAGTCACCTGCCGGTGGCCTTGAGTCGCAGCGATCTTTACCTACTCCGTTTCTCACCAAAACTTATCAACTCGTCGACGATCCTTCCGTGGATGACTTGATTTCCTGGAACGAGGATGGATCCACCTTTGTTGTGTGGCGGCCTGCAGAATTCGCCAGAGATTTGCTTCCTAAATATTTCAAGCACAATAATTTTTCAAGCTTTGTTCGTCAGCTCAACACTTACGTAAGTTATTGATTTGAAATTTACTTTTGAGGAAATTAAATATATCAGTCTGCATAATATAAATCTGAATGAATAATTAACAATTCTGATCCATTTTGTTATTAAGGGATTTAGAAAGCTAGTACCGGATCGATGGGAATTTGCGAATGACTGCTTCAGGAGAGGCGAGAAAGGACTCCTCATCGATATACAGCGCCGTAAGGTTCCCCCCGTAGCGCCGGCTGCCGTGGCTCTGACAGTGGCAGCCGTGCCGGTAGTCCAAGCGGTAGCGCGTACGTTGTCCCCATCGAACTCCGGTGACGAGCAGGTCATCTCGTCCAACTCATCTCCCAGTCATGCGGTTACGCTTCAACGCACTACGAGCTGCAGTACTACGCCGGAGCTCCTAGAAGACAATGAGAGGCTAAGGAAAGAGAACATGCAGCTGAGTCAGGAGTTGACTCGGTTGAGGGGATTATGCAATAATATCTTTGCTTTGATGACAAATTACGCATCAGGTCAGATAGAGAGCATGAATTCGAATATGCCGGAGGGAAAACCGCTGGATCTTTTGCCCGCGAAGAGTCCGGTAGGCGTCGCTGATGACGGTGGATCACAGGAATCGCCGACGGAGGAGGCGGAGGATGTGACGCCAAAACTGTTTGGGGTTTCCATAGGGGTGAAGCGCGTGAGGAGGGAGGAGCAGGAGGAGGAGGAAGAGGAGAAGAATCAGGCGCAGCAGGAGGAGAAGGAGCTAGGTTCTGACGGGAAAGCTGAGCCGTCTGATCGGAAGGATGATAATCAAGATCATACGTGGCTAGAGCTAGGCAAATAAGAATATCAAAGAAGACAGATGGACGGACGATGATCAGGAATTATGGGATGTGGGACCCAATGAGGGGCGGAGCATCACGTGGAGCGGATTCGGAAGAATCACGCGCTTGTGAACAAACACGTGGCAGCAGAGAACCACAAAAGGAGGGGTGGGAGAACGGCGATTGAGTTGGGCTTCATGAATGTGCAATTGCAGGGCCGAAAATTAATGATTTTCAAGCCTTCAACAAAATTCAATAGCCCAACCAAGTTGCTAATTTGGGCTAATTCGCCAATAATGCCACCTCCATGGGCCAGTACTGTTTCCCCAACCCAAAAGGGAAGAATGAATTTTTTTTATGAGGATGTTTTCCTCCATTTTTCTATGGAAGAATTGTTAACAAGTTCCTCATGTTGTTTAACTGTCACAGCATGAGAATTGCATGTTTGATTTCATCAGTTCACAGTTTGGTAAGGAAAGCTTTGAAGATTTCTTTGCCCTTATTATCGTGTTTGACAGGGAATAAAATGAAACGAAATTCTAATGGAAGGTTCTTGTAGCCTGCAAAAGAAGAATCCTGGAAAAACGTAAATAGACTTGTGGAAGGAAAAGCAGCTGAAAGAAAAAAGTTTCTCCATTTTTTGGGACCCATTACCTAATTAATCACTAGAATTCCAAATCAATGTTATTATTATAAGATTGGGTTTTTCCAACTCGTACCTAAAAAGAATTATTTTAATTTTAATTTTTCCAAAAGAACGGAAGAATTATTAAATTGATATAGTCACTGTTTTCCATCTAACAATTATACAAATATAATAATTGAACTTGTTAAATAAACAAAACGTCGATATACATTGAATTAAGTGTTGTGAGATTTTAAAATTGTGCATGTTAGGTGATTGGTTATATGGTTCTCATAGACAAGGTTTTTAAAATCGGATCGGTTATTGAACTGTTTTCAGGTCTGATTTTTGGTTTAATCGATTTAACCGGTTAAATCGATGAATCGACCGATCCAAACAACAAGGAAGATTTGATGAGAGGAGCAAGCTGCATGCATGGATTTTCTAATTTAGTGTTGATAATTTTGTAATTTTGTTAAAATTAAATGTTAAAATGGGTATAAGAAAGGGATAGGAATGGTGAAATTGGAATAAATTGAAAGAAGATTGCTTGAGAAATTGAACTGGTAGTTTTTCTGATTCTATCGGTTCCATCTATTTTTACCAGTTTTGATCAAATTTGACCGATTTTAACATCAAATGGTTTTTTTATATAAACCGAATCATTTAATCACCGAGTATCGATTTAATCGGTTCAACCGATCGATCCGGTCCGATTTTAAAAACCTTGAGATACATGCATCCAGGCATCAAAATCTATCAATTTTTTTTTGTCTTTAAATATTCCACGAGGAAGCTACACCATGAGTAACCTTTGAATTTCCCACGAAGGCAACGGCTGCATCTTCTTCCTCCTACTCCACTATTCTTCTAAACTTTTTCGTTTATAAATACCCACCAAAGCCAAACTCAATTCTCCCAATGTAATTAATTATAATCTTTATTAATTTGACAACTCGATCAAAAGGAATTTTCAGTTTTCAAAAGTTTTTTTTTTTTTTTCTCCTGTGGAGAAACCATTATGTTACTCGGCAGTAGTCATCAGCAGCCGCAGTTCATCATAGAGATCACAATCCTATCAGCAGAAGGCCTCAAGAACACATCTTCTGCTCTCTTCTCTCACCGTTTACGCCCCTTCGTCACCATCTCCACCGTCCTTCCGGCTCCAAGCGATCGTGACAACAATCGCCATTCGTACCAAACAAGGGTTGACGATTCAGGTGGGGTGAACCCCACATGGGGCGACAAGTTTCGTGTCCCGGTGGACTCTACTTTCTTCGCCAATAGGTATTCATGTATATATCTGCAACTTTACACCAAACGGCTCATTTCTGGGAAGACCCTATTGGGTTGGTGCCATATTCCGGTGTCTGACATCGGAGTCCCTCCTGCGGGTTCCCTTCAGCACCGAAGTTACCGGTTGCGGGCTAGAGACGGCTCTAGAGGTCCGGGGACTCTGAATGTCTCCGTCAAACTAGAAAGTGCTACGTTACTTGGTGGCAACGGTTTTCCGTTGGACACGTGCCAGACGGTAATTGGTGTACCACTGACGGTTTGGCCACATGTCGGCAAGACCGCAGAAAATTAAAACGGGAAGGAAGCCGGCGGCGATTCACTGACTTAACTAAAATGGTGGACCGCACAGCTCTCCGTTGCACCAACCATATTAATTTTGTTTTTTGTAAATACTGATTTATAAATGATAAGGAGTTTTCTATAGAATAAATTAAGAGTGTAATTAGGTTAAACCCTTTATTTGTATATTGAATATTATTTTTTTGTGTGATTAATATATTTTATAATTTTTATTTTTAATCAATACTTTTTATATTTTGAAATTCATAAAAATGTTCAAATTATTAATAAAATTAGGGTGTAAATAAGAATTTTGATTATTAATTTTTAATTTTTTTATGAGTTTTAAATTATGAAATATATTGATTGAAAATAAAAAAATTTTAAATTATTAAACATTAAAAAAATAATACATAAGATACAAATAAAAAGTTTAGTCATATAATTATTATTTTTTTATTATTAATATTTATAAATAAAATAAAAATTAATTTAATGTTTAATCAAATCTTTTTATATGACATTAATATTAAAGATAAAATTTTTTTTTTATAATTTTATATATATAATAAATATATTCTTAATCTATATACATTATATATTGAAACAACAGAAAACTATACCACAAAGTCACTTTGATACTATTTTGTATTTTTTTGTTTTTTAATTCTATATTAATTAACTATCAGAAAAGTATGCAGAGTCTCAAGGGAACGCTTTGTATTGTTGTTTTAAAAATAATTATTAATTATCATTAAATAAGTTAAATATTTTAAATTATAAATATTAATAATTATTAAATAGTTAAAAAATAGTTAAATATCAGCTATTACTTTTTTCTTTTATTAATCTCTCAATATCTGATAATTAACTTAAATTTTTATTAATTCTGAATCGAATCGCATCAAATCTAATAAAAAAAACCTTTTCGGTAACTATTTCAGTATTTATCATCTATTACCTATTTCAAAAAAAAGTAATGCAAACAACCTATTAGAATCATTAATAAAGCACCAACCCCTAGATATTGAAATAACCTTGTCCATCGTTACAATAAAATGTGTGAGAGTAATAATAAGAAAAACGAAAATTTAAGACAAATTTAAAATCAATAATATAATTTATATTATATTATTAAATTAATCAATATATATAATATTATAATTTTTTTTAAAAAAAATAAAAAATTAACTATTAAATAATATAAATTTTACTTTTTAATATTTTAAATGTCATAATATAAATTACATTATCTCATATTTTAATCTCATCTATTATTATCCAATGTGTAATCTACTCAGTTATCTCAACTACAATTACCATAATAAATAAGTAAAAAAAATTACTTTACCGAAAAAAAAAAAGTAAAAAAATGAAAATGCAGACATAAATTCAATATTAAAATCAAAAGAAAAACAAAGGAGGTCTGCATTCTGCAGTTCTGACCTCTTAACACCTTAGTCCCATTGCATCTAGGGGCAATGTGGTTTTCCATTTCCGACTGATTGCAAACACCCTTTTCCAAAAATAGAAAACGCAGAAACTAACAAACATTAATAAAACATTCTGGAATATGCATTATTAAGCTTATATAAACTTCACAAAACCTCACTTCAATAGAGATTTTCCAAAACACTTTACAAAGCATAATTCCCAGACAAGTAGAAGGCATTCCTGTTCCATTTTGCCAAGGGTACATCATGATCAAGTAAAATGAAAAATTTACAACGGGTTGGTGCTAATATGCCATGGGCAGAACCAATTTAGACACAACTGGATTGAAGACCCGAGCTTAAACAAGCACCACAGCATTGTCACATCTACTCCACAACTGACCAAAAATAGGATAGCCTAGGTGCATTCTACATGACATGCTGTGCAATTTAATGACCGCAAGCAAGAATCATTTGGAGATGCTGGTGACATGTGATCAAATTCTTCTAGACTTCCTCCTGTCTACCACCCTTTAAGATGTTGTACTTGCAAAGAGGGCAGGTAGCATTGATGTACAGCCATTTATCTACACAGGCACAGTGAAAGTAGTGACCACAAGGGAGTTCTCTTAGCTCCACTCCATCATCATAAGCAGAAAGGCAGATGCAACATTCCTACAGATTTTCACAAACCTCAAGTCAGCATGTATCTCCTTTGAGCTTCATCCAACACATACCATAGTATGATAGATGGCAAAAAGTGATTAGAGGGTCTACATTACATGGTTTTACAGATATGACAACCATGGAAATAGACAGGAGAAGAGACAAAACAAACTACATAAGAAACTGGAAAGAAGAGAACCAACTTACTGCATCTTCCAGCGAAACTATGTGTTCAATGGGGGAATCCGTACCACATTCAGTCATTATACCTCCAGGAGGTTTCTGAACATTACCAGTGATTTTCTCATCATCACTAATCTTTCTAAATTTGAATTTTGGTAGCTGATCAATATTCTCCTTGGACGCTCCTTCCTGCTTTCAGAGATCATAAACCATGTAAAGATGTAAGAGGAGCTACAAAATCTGAAGTAATTGCATAGCAATCTAGGAGTTACTATTACTAGTTGAACATTGAAATTTTTAAGAATGCACCCTTAGAACTAAAGGACACAGAGGTATGAACCTATAGAACAGATCCTGTTCAAGTAAGGTCATAGAATGCACCATTTTTTACATATAGAATATATATAAATCAATAGCGAACTTGACCATCTTGCAAAAAGTTTTCTCCTTTGTCCACAGTAGCAGTTAGCAGAGACAATACTTAGGTCTCAATCCAGAACAACCTTATGTACACAAAGTTACAAATTGCTTAAGCTCATACAATCACGATGATATTAGCAAATAAAAATTTCACGATGACACACATCCATACACATATCAAGGATAGCAGCTACCTGATCTGCCACAGCATACAAGACGGCAATAATGCATGGAAGACAACAGCAAACAGCAATACCAATGATGCATGCCAGTGCAATACAGAAGACGACAAAGAAGACATCGAAACCAAGAAATATTATACAAAGCCTGCAGAGAAAATCAAATGGCAAGAGCTAAGATTCATCATTAAAAAAATTTGAAAACTCAAACAGTAGCAGCGAAACAACACAAGAACAAACCAGTAAAGCAGAGAGGAACCACGCGCTAAAATTTGGCCACCTGCAGATACCCAGTAGAATCCAATGATCCACCAGATGAATGAAAACATTGTGTTTGCTGATTCCAGATGCTTTGCAATCTTGCTGAATGTGCTAAAATACAGAATAATAAGCCCATAAACATGTGCTATGTTATATTAAAATATCCCAGAATGCATCAAATTAAACATACCCAAGATACCATAAAACACCTTCCCAGAATCCCCACCATTGCTATGACATTTTCTTTCTAACAAATCAAAGAAGAATAGGCTGAATGAGGCATAACTTTCATTTTTCCTATTCATTTCATCTAGAAAGCAAGTTGAATAGGTTAAAGAAAATCATCCTTTTCATTTAAATTTTCATCAAATGCCATAAAAACTAAAAAGTAACCAATCAATAAAAAGTACACTCCCAAACTCACTAAATACCCACACTTTCACACGTTATAAATGCATGTTGCACCAATTATAGCAACTTCATATACATGCAACAAAATTAGCACCTTTGGAAACAACTACCTATTTACATAATTTTAGCAACTGTGGAACATAAATCTCTGATCACCGTATGCCAATATCAATTATCAGTTACCAATCAAAAAAAAAAAAAAAACTTACCAAATTCATCCATTACCCATGTAACTATCAATACCTAATCAGAAACAGTCGGACAATTAAACAGCGATGAATTCTCAAAATCATTAAACAACCATAGCTTATGATAGTAAGTTTACCTCGCACTGTCCTCTTGCAGATGCGCCAATGAGACGTACTGCTCAGAATCCCCACTCAGACTGGCGCTCAAACCTCCTTCTTCCCCAGAATTTAAAGGCCTTTGAACAACACGCCGTCTCCTCCTCCTGTATTCCACGCAAACACAGGCCATATGCAACAAGCACTGCAACACATACCCAACAATCCACAGCCTCAGCGGCGTGTTGGGGTGCTCGTTCCTGCCCAAAAAAAGAAACACAGCAGCCACCGCCACGAAAGCAAAGTTCCAAATGATATCCAGAATCACAACAGGTTTCGAGTACGCCCAGTCGCTCTGGCGCTCCTCGAGCTGCTCCGCGGCAGTCTCCCGAACAAGCATGGACGGTTCCCGCATCATCCGACGACTACTGGCTCGTCGCAGAAACCGCGCCGCCTCTCGCAAGCTCTGGCGCCTCACAGATCGGCGATTAGCGGCGCTGTTGTCGGGCTCCTCGCGGGAACCACTAGTGGGAGATGAGAGAAACGGGGTGGCGTCGATGATATCATCGGAGGAGGGGGACTGAATTGTGGGTGAGGTAGTAACTGCAGTTGTTGTTGTTGCGAAGGACATGTTGGGGGATGGTGGAAATTGTGGACTGTGCTGAAAATGTTTGGAATTGGGAGAGGGGTTCTTACGAGGCCATGGAATAGAGAAGGGAGAGAAAGTAATTGGGTGTTTGGAAAGGGGGAAATTTGATCCTTAGGGCTCGGTGATGGTTACTGTTTCTGGCATCAAATGCTGGAGATGAAAGAAAAACAGTGCGGAAATT